GATCTCAGGGTGGTGAGATGGAGCCCATGTCGGTCTCCAAGCCCAGCGGGGAATCTGCTGAGATTCTCTCCTCCCCCCTCCACCTCTCCCCTCACTTGTGCTTTCTCTCTCTCTTTCTCAAATATTTAAAAGTATCTTTAAAAAGAAAGAAAGATTCACGCGATCCACCCCATCAGAACCTGAAGAAGAAAAATCCCATGATCATATCACTTGATGCTAAAAAGGCATTTGACGAAATTCTTCAATGGTTTATGATTTCAACAGGAACAACTAAAATTCTCAGCAAGTTAGGAGTAAAGAAGCATTATCTAAACTTGATAAAGAACATCTGCAAAAAAAAAAAAAAAAAAAAGCCCACAGCTTCCTACCCTCCAGCCCCCACTCCAATCAAGAACAAGACAAGGATGTCTCTTTGCGTTGTTCATTCAACCCAGCATGGGGATTTCTAGCCCCTGCAGTATGGTAAGGGAGAGAAACAGAAGGCATACGGATTGGAGAGTAAAAAAATAAAACCGTCTCTGTTTGCAGATGACATGATTGTCTACATAGAAAAATCCCAAAGATATAAACAAACACAAAAACACTCCTGAACTAACAAATGAGCTCGGCAAGGTATTGGGATATAAAATCAACATACAAACATCAATCACATTTCTGTATACTGAGAATGAACGTGCCAGAAGCAAAACTTAGAACAGCATTTAAAAGAACTCCAAAGAAAACCAAATACTTATTGTATGCACTTAACAAACTACGTACTATAACCTGAAAACGATAATTTGCTGATGAAAGAAATCAAAGAAGACCCAAATAAGTAGAGAGACATACCATGTTCATAGATTGGAAGATTCCACATGGGAAAGATGTTACCTCTCCCCGGATTGGTCTATGGATTTAATGCAGTTCCTGTTAAAATCCCAGCAAGTTTTTCTGGGCAGAGACAAGCTTATTTTTGAATTGATATGGAAAGACGCAGAGGCTAGAATAGCTAAAACAGTCTTGATATGTGGAATAAAGTCAGAGGAGTTGCTCTACACAAAATCAAGTTTTCCTATACGGCATCAACAAAGGATGGAATTGGGAGGGGTAGAATCATAGATCAGTGGAACAGAATAGGGCACATAGAAGAAAGTCAAACGTGCTTAATGAATTTTTGGCAAAGATGCACCAACATTCCGATAGGAAGAGGATGGCTTTCCAACCCACAGTGCTGGATCAATTAGACACCTACAGGCAAGACAAAACAAAACAAAACTCCACCGAAACTTTATATATTGTACCAAAATTAAACCAAAATGGATCACAGAAGGAAACAGAAAACTATAGAACTTTTAGGGGAAAAAAATAGAGGAGAAAATCTGGGTCCGAAAGGTAGGCAAAGGGATCTTAGACACAACACCTAAAGCATAATCCATAAAAAGAAAACTGGATAAAAGTGGAAGCTTTTGCCCTGTGAGAGATCATGTGAAAGAGGTAAACAGACAAGGCGCCTGGGCGGTATGGATGGTTAGGCATCCAACTCTTGGTTTTGGCTTAGGTCATGATCTTGGCGTCCTGAGATGGACCCCTGGGTCGGGCTCTGCACTCAGCTTGGAGTCTACTTGAGATTCTCTCTCTCCCTCTCCCTCTGCCCCTTCTGCTTGTGCACTCTCTCGCTCTCTCCCTCTCTCAAATAAATAACTAAATCTAAGAAAGAAAGAAAGAAAGAGAGGAAGAAAGAAAGGAAGGAAGAAAGAAAACAGACCAACCTCAGATAGTAAGGCAGTGGGTCAGACATGGGTATAGCCATGCCAATGGAGATGCAACTAACAACACCTTATGTAAGATTTGCTCATTCAGAAACGTTGTCTGAGCACCTATTAAGCTCCATTGGGTGTTCTGGGGGCTCGGAGTCCCTGCCTCCAAGTGTCACATTCTGGCAGGAGAGACGGGTGAAAAATGCAGAGCAGGAAGCCAAGTTTATGGTCAATCAGGAGACAAGAAACGTGCTCAGGGACAAAGAAACAGGGTTCGCCAGCAGGAGTGTGGGCTGAGCCTCCTTGATTGACCTCCTGCCTGGAGGGGCTGCTTCTCAGCCTCCTTCATCGGCTTCTCCAATTCTCCTACACAGCTGGACACCCCAGGGCTCAGCCCTTGACCCTCTTTTCTGTCTGCTCCCTCCACAGAGGCGACCTCACCTTGCAAATGCTCTAAGCACTATACTAGTGAGAACTCTCCAGAGAAACAGATCAATAGGATAGAGAGATCTAGACAAGAGAAGATTTATCCTAGGCATTGGCTCTAGTGGTCGTGGAGGCCAAGAAGTCCCACGATGTCCAAGCTGGGGACCTACGAAAGCCAAGGGTGTATGTAGTTCAGTCTGAGTGTGAATGCCTGAAAATGGGGTGGGGGGATGGTGCTCAAGCAGAGAGGGCAAATTCTCCCTTCCTCCGCCATTTTGTTCTATTTGGATGCTTAATGGATTGGATGATGCCCACCTGTGCCCACCAGGGGTCCCTCCCACTGGGGAGGACCATCTGCTTCGCTCAGAGCATCAATTCACAAACTCTCATCAAGCTGACACTTAAAATTAACCACCGCACACACCATCTACGGGCTGAATACTCCCCAGTTCACATCTCCTGCCCGGGTCTCTGTTCTAAACCCTTGTCTTGGGGCGCCTGGGTGGCTCAATTGGTTAAGCCTCTGCCTTCAGCTCAGGTCACGATCTCAGGGTCCTGGGATCGAGCCCTGCATCAGGCTCTCTGCTCAGCAGGGAGCCTGCTTCCCCCTGTCTCTCTGCTGCCTCTCTACTTGTGATTTCTGTCAAATAAATAAACTCTTTAAAAAAAAAAAAACAACCTTGTCTTCTGCATGCCACTGTGCAATCAACATCTCTACCAGGTCCTCCTTGACCCCCCACCCACCCACCCACCTGGGTCAGTCAGGGGACTTCCTGCATTCTTGGCACCCTCAAACTTTGCAAGGGTCCTCGGTCCCCCTGCATTACGTACACCTCCAAATCAAAAGAAGTCTGCCCCCTTCTCATCCCCACCCCTGCTCTCAGTCCAAATACCCTCATCTCTCATCAGGGTTATTTAGCCTCTACACAGTGGCAGAGTAACCCTCTAAAAATGGAACACCAGGTTCATAGCAGCATTATTCATAACAGCCAAAAGGCGCTGTTAAAAAAGGAACAAGGGGCCCAGAATTGCATCACTTTTCCCCCACCACAACAAACCAAGACTCTTCTGCCACGTCGACCTACCCTCTCCTAGGAATGTAACCTCAAACCAGACAATCTGGGGTTCCCTGCCAGGCACTAGTGAGGGGATCTGCAGGATAGACCTTGCCAGAACAATCCACTCTTCCTTAGAAAACTTCCTTTTCTTCCCCTTCTGCCTATAAAAACCTTCTGTTTTGTACACTCAGCTCCCCAGAGCTTTCTCTTTGCAACACGGGATGCTGTCTGGTTCATGAGTTATTGAATAAAGCCAATAAGATCGTCAAATTTACTCAGTTGAATTTTGGTTTTGAGCAGTGAAACAATTGAAATGTCCATCAGCCGATGACTGGATATATTCAAATGGGGTCTCTCCCGACAGTGGACTGCTGCTGACTCGTTAAAAAAGAACAGAACACCCGCACATGCTACAACATAGGTGAACTTTGAAAACATTCTGCCCTGAGAAAGAAACCAGGCAGGAGAGGCCACACAGTGCATGGTCCCATTTCTAGGAAGTGTCCAGAATAGTCCAATCCAGAGAGGCAGAAGATAGGGTAGTGGTTATCAGGGACTGAGCGGAAGAGGCGGAGGGGAAGGAAGTAATTGCTAATAGGCAGCAGGTTTCTATTCCATGTGATGAAAACGTTCTAAAATCACCTAATGGTGAAGCTTGCACAACCTTATGAATATACCAAAATCCAATGAAATGCACACTTTAAACGGGTAAGTTACATAGGTCATGAATTGTCTCAATTAAACATATATATAATTTTTTTTTTTTTTTTTTTTTTTTTTTTTTTAAGCAAACTCGGCCGGCTTCCCTCCTCTGCTCACACTCTGCAGGGGCTCCGCTCAGGGGCCGTAAAGCCGGTTGCGCACCTGGCCCAGGAGGCACCCTCCTAGTCCACCCCTCCCCTCTCCTCTCTGGCAACCCCAGAGACTCCAGACACTTCGGCCCCCCAGCTGTCCCCAGAACCTCCGCTTTTACGTGCCGCTGCTGTGGCTGTGCCTCCGCCCGCACCCTTCCCCCCAACACCCACACACCTGGCCACCGGCCCCTGCACCTGGTTCCGCACCTGGTCCCCGCACCTGCACCTGCGCAGTGAAGCCTGCTCCGACCGCCCGCTCCGTTCGTGCCCCCGCCTGCGCACCGCCCATCCCCTCATCCACTGTGCCATGGCTCTTCCTAACTTCGGGCAGACGGCACGACTTTCTTATCTGTATTACGTAAGCTCGGGTGCTGATGACGTAACTCCCCGCCGGTGGACAGTTCTGCTCTTTGCTCCCAAATGTGTTCCCAGCACTTACTGCCTGGCACACAGCAGGCGCTCAATGAATACTAAAGGCATGCGAACGCATAAATGACTATCGCTTGAGAAATGAAATATTAATGAAATTAAACCTCAAAAGTCCGATAAACCTCGGACCAGCCTTTTCCGCACCGAGAGAGGCACTCTCAGCAATGTTAACAATAAATGCATTTATTCTCGGCACCCGCGGTGCAACACTGCCCAGGGAACGCAGGTCCCCCCTCTCGGCTCGCTCTTGGGACCCGGAACCCGGGGGCCACAGTACCGCGCTGGGCGGTAGACGGTCTGCAGGGCGCAGGCGCGGAAGCCCTACAGCCTGGCGCCTCGAGCTCTCCGGGAACTTCCCCTGGCGGCCGCGGGGTACCTCCCGGGCGGAAACGGCTACAGCAGGGCCAGGGCCGCATGCGCGTCCTGGAGTTCTCGCGAGACTGCGGGAGAGTGGGCGTGGGCGCGGACTTCCGGCGGCGCGAGCTGAGTGACGCGGGGAGGCGGTTGGGGCGGAGTGGGGCTCGGGCGGCCGCCGCCATGGACCCGTTCCTGGTGCTGCTGCACTCGGTGTCCACCGGCCTGTCGGACGACGAGCTGACCGAGCTCAAGTTCCTGTGCCGGGGCCGCGTGGGCAAGCGGAAACTGGAGAGCGTGCGCTGCGGCCTGGACCTGTTCGCGGTGCTGCTCGAGCAGAACGAGCTGGACGCCGAGCACACCGAGCTGCTGCGCGAGCTGCTCGTGTCGCTGCGGCGCCAGGACCTGCTGCAGCGCCTGGACGGCTTCGAGGCGGGCGCCGCGGGCAGGGCCCCGCCGGAGGAGCGAGGTGGGCGCGCGGCGCCGGGGGCGGGGGCGGGGCGGGGCCCGTGCGCCCCGCGGTAGCTCGGCCGGTCCTCCGGGGTTCCCCTTCCCCGCGTTCGATTGCGCGGATTTTCTCCGGACGCTCGCGGGAGGCGGGTCAGCCGCCCGCTTTGCTGATGGGGAGCCCGAGCGCCTGGAAGTTTAACCCACCCTGGGGTGGAAGACGTGGACAAGCACACACCCAGCTCGCCGCCGCTCCGTCCCCCCTGCCTGCGGCGAACGAGCGCGCTCCGAAGGAGAGGGCGTCGCGCACCGCCCCTGGGTGGGGGAGCTAGGTGTGCCGCCGCTGCTTTCGTTTTCCTTCCGCCTCTGGGAGCGCCCCACTGGCGTCCTTGACGCGGAGAACAGGGAACGGCTCTCGCCCAGCGGCGTAGTCCTCAGGATAGCTCTGTGCTCGGGTTCCGCGCTCGATCTCTCTTCGTGTCTTACAGGCCGGAGGACCGGGGCTGGGAGGTGCAGTGAGGAGCCCGAGATGCCCGGCCGGTTGCTGGCTGGGACCAACTGAGGCAGCCTTGGCGGGCGGGCGGGATTAGCCCTACCCCTCTCTGACCAAGGCCCTTCAGAGTGGCTTCCTGCCCTGTGCGCAGGCATCCCCTCTTTCTTCCCTCCTCTGGGGCTTGCACAGTCCTTGGGGAGTGAAAATGAGACCTGGGTAGAGCAGGGCGTCTCAGCCACACCCCTGTGTTCTCAGAGCCCTGGGAGGGGTGCTGGGGAGTGCTCTGGGGACACCTCTCATAGGCTGGAAGCTCTTGCCTGGCATCAGCCCTTCGGTCACCAGGTCAGAAAGGGTAGACCCATAGCAGCACGGGTGTTACTCCATAAAGATCTTACTGGTGCAGATGGGGACGGGACTGCTCTGCCTGGGATCAGTCGGATTCAGACTTCCTGTCCAGACACACTCACACATACACACACCCCTGTGTAAGCATACACACGCGCACCAGGCCGTGCAAACAGGACAGGACGTAGAAGAGCTACGTTTTTAAGGACATTGAGCAGGGAGGAGACTGGGGACATAATGCATCTAGAAGCCCGTGCACACACCACAGATCTGTCCGTCTATGCGTGTACATATGGTGTGTTGCAAGAGAGCACACCGGAGATTACCAGGTAGGGGTGGGTTGATGAGGGCCTGTCCTGTATTACTCTTGCTCAGAAGACGGGGTAGCGTCCTGGTCGGGTGCACTGGCACTGGGCTCGTCAGGGTTTCCCTTTCTACCTGTGCCATTGTCTAGCTGCATGGCATCAGGAAAATACTCCTCTTCCCTGTGCCTCAGTTTCCCTCTCTGTACCATTGGTCACAGTAACACAAGTGCCCGCTTGCCCACCTGCAGGGGACAGAGGAGTCGGCACACAGGCTGACAGCATCTTGGGGGTGTGTAGCTGGAGACACATTTGCTGGGGCCCTCTGAGCAGCGTTTTGCCCTTCCTCTCCTCTCGCTACCGCCATTCCAGAAACTACCTGTGAAGGTCGGTAGTGCCCCACCTGCTGGTCTCAGTCATGATCTCTCCACCGATGAGGACACGGTAGCCAGGGACCAAAGACTGATGGTCAGTCCAGGCAGCTTCCAAAATAAGAATTGGGGTGTTTTCGTGCTCCAGGGCTGCCATACAAAGGACCACAATTCGGGGCCTTAAAGTGACATGGAACTGATTCCTTCGCAGTTCCGGAACCAGAAGTCAAAGGTCAAGTTGTCAGCAGAGCCGCACTCCCTCTGGAGGCTGCAGGACAGCATCCTTTCACCTCTTCCAGGATGTGGCGGCTGGGGACATTCTTTGGCCAATGGAGTGGGCTGGTGGCAGGACTGGAGGCCCCCCTCAGGCTTTCTCTGACCTTCCCCTGGCCCCCTACTGCTGCGTGACCCCAGCCTCTGCAGGAGGACCTCTCCTGTCCCCAGCACTTGGGCAGCACCAAGAAGCGCTTTGGGAATATGGGGTTACTCGTCCCCAAACGTGTCCCCCAAACCTCTGGTAAATCGTTTTCTTTCCCCAGAGCTGCGTGCAGCATTTGACATCGTCTGTGATAACGTGGGGAGGGACTGGAGAAGACTGGCCCGGCACCTTAAAGTGACAGACGCCAAGATCGACGCCATCGAGGAGAAGTATCCCCGCAACCTGACCGAGCAGGTGAGGGAGTCGCTGAGAGTCTGGCAGAGCGCCGGGAGGGAGGACGCGACAGTGTCCCACCTGGTGAGCGCGCTCAGGGCCTGCCAGCTGAACCTGGTGGCCGACCTCATCCTGGAGGATCAGCAGGCCCAGGAGAATGAGAGCAAGACTGCGAGCAGTGCAGGTGGGGACAAGAGCCCCGCCGAGTCTCTGACGTCCTGGGGTTCGGATGGGCCTGCCTTGGGGGGCCCCTGGTGACCCAGCTGCTCTTCTCCAGGGGCCCGAGGCCCGAGGGCGTCCACGCAGCCCGAACTTGGGTCCCCCCTACCACCACCAAAGTTGACCAAGTGCCTTCCACGCGCCGGTGCTATGATGACCTAGCAGGGCACCAGGACAAGGGACCCCGGCGCTCGAGTCACAGCTGGCTTCACAGAGTGGTGCCCGGGGGATTCGGCCGCCGTGCAGATGCTTTCATTCGTGCCTCAGGATCGCCCTTGAGAAGGAGAGTCTGTCCTGTGAGATGAGCCCTGCACGAGGAGGTTTCGGATCCATGCCCAGCAGGTAGAAGGAACGTCAACGTCAGCGGTGCTCAGTGCTGTTACTCAGCAGGTGGGGACCTTGTGCAGTCCGTGGCTAGACAAAGTCAGTAGCAATGGGAGAGCCGGAGGTGGAGCCAAGGCTGTCGGGCTCCAGAGCCCACACGGTGACCACTGGGTCACTCTGTTGCTGCCACAGTTGGCCACAGGCTTTGAGGCCATTGGCTAGACCCATACACCAGGTCAGGCGGTGTGGAGGTCCCTGGTGGGCTCATGGCCCTTGAGGGTGTGTGGGGGAGGATAGTAAGGCTCGTGAGCACGGCCTGCGATAGGATCGTCCCGTGTTCGGGCGGTGGACGCCCTGGGTGCGGCACCAGCGGGAGTTCTCAGAAATACTATGACTTCTGTGATGCCACAGTTTACTGTTTTGTATCAAAATCACTATTCTGGTAACAGGATCCTGTAATCTTAAAAAGTGGTCTTTCTGCTTTTACGGTAATCCTATTAAAGCTTATTCCTTTACAGTGGAAAGCTCCATGACCCAGAATTTTACATTCCTTTTGAGGATTACTTCATTTCTCATATTCTTGAAAGTCCCGTTGTGGTCGATTTCAGTACCCTGGGCCGCTTCTCTTAGGCTGAACCATGAGCAGGGTGGCCGGACTCCTAACAGCTCTGGGAGCCACTGACCAGGGGAGCGTTCGTGCCCAGCAGACTGCTCGGCTAGAGGCCACCTTTCGCCAGCTTTGGGCCCACCTGCCACTGAGTGGCATCAGAGAGCCGCGTGGCCATACCTTGTTCAGGCCTTCGGCTGTGACCTTGGGAGAGCCCCACATGAGGTCCTGGCCGCATTGTCCTGCTAAGCTACAGAGCAGCCTTGGAGTCCCTGCACGCCTTCAGCAAGTCTGTACTGATGCCAGACAGGGCGAGGGCTGGGCCACCACAGGAAAGGAGAGCGCCGTGGCCCTACTCTGTGGACCTCAAGCTCCGGACCGGAAATCCAGGCATTAAGCAGAGCATAAGCTCAGGGTGCTGTTGAGGCACTGAGCCCGTGTCAGGCCCGCACTGGCGCGGCCTGGCCCTGTGTCACGCGCTGTCTGTGTCCTTAGCCCCCGCCCCCAGCCAGCCATCGCACCTGCTTTGCAGGCCCCGGGGCCGAGCTAGTTCTGCGGATAGCAGACATGACAGCACTGTCAGTAAACGTCAGGAGCTTGGCTGACGGGCCGCTTTGGGAAGTAGGTTTGCTGAAAACGATGTCCGTGTCTCTGGGACACGGAGCTGAGCGGTTCTCCGGTTCCCTCCTGGCTTATGAGATAAGCTGCGGGAAGGGTGAATGCCGAGCGCCCTGACCCGCGCCCTCCATCCCCCCGTGTGCCCCTCACACCCGGAAAGACCCCCCGCCATCCATCACACCATGTGTCATGATAGAGGCTCCAGTGACCTGTGATTTCTGCACCTATGGGCAGCGAGTGGACAGGGCCTGGTCCCCAGCTCTGCCACCAGCTTGTTCCTGTGGCCCGCCTCTCAGTCCCACGGTTGTGAAGGCACCGGGTACCCCCCACCCCCAGCACTCACATCCCTGACCTCCGCAGAGAGCAGCTCCTGGCCACATGGTGAGGGGGAAGGAGCAGGGTCCCGGAGCAGCCACAAGGAGCGCGAGGCCGGGATCTGGGTTCGAGACCTGGAATAGATGACGGGCGAGGAGTGTCCCCACCCTGTGTGGCTAGGCTCTGCGCGCCGCCCGCTTGCCGGGGCCTGGAGGTGGCCCCCTCCACCGCCCTGCATGAGGGCGGAGCCATAGAGCCTGGTGATGGGGGTGCGCGGGCACAAGCAGCTGTCCCCAGAGATGCTGGCTCAGAGCCAGATGGAGGCACCAGTCTGTTCTGCCAGATCGCACATCCGTGGGCCGGAGGCTTCTGCCCTCGCCAGCACCGCACCGGGCTTGGAGCCACGACAGCGGGACACGCAGCCTGCCCTTGGGAAGCACACGGTTTCCCTGCTTCGTGAAGCAAAAGAAGTGTGACGGAAGTCAACACAGGCATGCAGTAAAAACGCAAGCACTTACATGGACCCTGGAAATGGAAAGATGCACGGCAAGGGTTGGAGAATGATGGTTTTGTTTTGTTTTATTTTAAAGATTTTATTTATTTATTTGACAGAGATCACAAGTAGGCGGGGGTTGGGGAAGCAGGCTCCCCGCTGAGCAGAGAGCCTGACGTGGGGCTCGATCCCAGGACCCTGAGATCATGACCTGAGCCAAAGGCAGAGGCTTTAACCCACTGAGCCACCCAGGTGCCCCAAATGATGGTTTTTTTAAAGATATTTATACTTTCTGTGTTTTCTACGTTTTCTATAATGTGTTTTTCATTGTCCCCTAGATACAGTTGCGTGGGAGTGTCCCCAGCAAGGCACGGAGCATGGGGTCCCCCCCGACTCTGCCCCTCGTGGCTTCATCCCCCTAAAAAGGGACATTTCGGTAAATCTCAAGTGCTTGCCCAAGTCTGTGGCAGCTTGCTCCTCAGGCACCTTGGAATAAGCAGTGACATTCTGCCCAGAGCCCCGGAGCTTCTGTCCCTCGGGCTCTCACTACAGTGGGGCCAGCCCGGGGCCGCTGGTCCTGAGATGTTGCTTGTCACCCTCACGTCTGAGCGTTTTCTCCACCGTTGAGCTGAACCACGGCTCCAAGGGAGCAGGTATTCTGGGACGGGCCTGACTGATACCTGAGCAGAACTAGGACCTTTGCGATGGGACCGGTGACGCCCTGCCCTGGATCGGGGAGTGGCTACATTTTCTAGAGGAATCTCCCATGGCAACTTCACGAAAAACAGTTCATGTTCCATTTAGACTTTTTTGTAAGGCTTTTCCATGAAATGTGTACTTCCAGTAAAGGTTACACACGAGTCCCGTGGTTTACTTGAAAGTTCAAGTTAGAGGCACATTTTGCCTTAGTTCTTCTTTTCCCGAGAAAGACGGGGGCAGAGGCCCAGTTGTGCATGCTTTCAGGCCAACGAAGGGGGGTTTGGCCAAGTGCTTCCTGGAACAGAGAGCCAGCTCCCTGGTTTCAGGGCCCCCCAGATTTCCCGGCTTCACACCCCCCCCACCCTCCCACCCCAGCCAGCCCTGCTGGGCTCTGGACCTGTGCACACACAGACTCTGCCAGACCCTTCCAGACACTTGCAGTGGGGCAGGCTCGAGGCAGACCCTCCCCCATCCCATCTCCTCTAGGGCATTTGATGTTTGTCTTCCTGATTGCATGACATTTTCTCCTGCCGGTTCTTCCTCTGGCCACCGCATCTCAGACCCACTCCCCGTCCCTGCACTTCTAGAACCCTCTTCCCACTCAGCACCCAAGGAAGCCAGGCCTCGGCCTCACGCGCCAGGTGGCCAGGGCGGCCACGTGGTTCCCTGAAGCCCCAAACCCTGACTGTCCGCTGCCAAGGGGCCACACCTTTTGCCTCGTACGTGCCCGTTCACCGACCCAGGGATCAGGCCGTGGGCACCATGGCGGTCCGGCATTATTCTTCCCGGGGCACGCACGTCGGTTCTGTGCTTGGCACCACGATCCGCCCAGTTGCCAAAGGTGCAGACTGAGCCCCCTCCCCGGGGGGCTCCCTCCCACACTGAACAGCCACTCCTTCCCACCCACCCACCCACATCCTCTCCTGCCCCTCCCCCACGGAGCCCCATCCCTTCTCAAGGACCCCACCCTCCGTCAGCCCCCAGGCGCGAGCAGGATCTGACGACAGCCCCTGCTCCCCTCAGCCACCAGCTCTCCGCGTCCGTTTCAGTTTAGTGTTTGTATTTCCGTGATACCGACGGAGTCACCTTGCCCACGGCTTCTAGCCACGTGACGTGTGTGGTGCTTGGGCCCCGCGGGCAAGCAGACCGGGAGCAGCGTGTGCTCACGTGCAGACGGCCAGTCACCCGACGTGTGCTGATAGAGACGGGACTTCCCTCTGCAGGGAACACTGTCCGCCGAGGTCCCCTTTCATCAAAGAAGCCTTGTGTCTTAAGTCCCCGACCGAGTGACAGACGGCAGGAGTCACGTGTGTAATGCTCACTGCGTTGTCACCCAGGAACAGAGACGGATTCAGGGCCTGAAAGGCCCTCCCTGAGCTGGAGCTCCGTCTGCCTGCGGATGGAGCGTTTGTGGTACGGCTTGAAGAGAAAAGCAGCCCAGCCCTCTGGGTCACCCGAGGCGCCGGGCAGTTACGAGGCCTCCTGATCCCCCAAACCGCCCGTCGGTGCAGACGGTGTGGATGTACTCAGTGGCCCGCAAAAGTGGCTGTAAGGGTGCGCTGTGACGTACATTTTACCACAGAAAAGCCTACCTCTTATTAAACTAACTCTCGTTTCATTGTGATGTTAATCTAAACCCTGCGTGTCTTGTGGGCTCTTCTCTCCGGGATTGACCCTTTTAATGCCATTTGGTAGTTCTCGAGGCTCAGAAGCACGAGGTCGTATCTGACCCCACATCTGTCTATCGAGGTAACGTGATCGTAAGACCTTGCTCATCGCTGGGAGATCGGCTCCCTGCCGCTCTTCCCAGAGGGGTTTCTGGCTAGAAAAACCCAGCTCCAGGGGTCCCCAGGAGGGCCACCCAGCCCCACGCACCTCATTCCTGAACCCCCATCCCCAGTCCTTACCAGGCCTAAGGCCCCGCTTAGACACCCAGTCTGATGGCAGCCTTGCCTGACCCCCCCAGTCCTAGGGCACACACAGAGGGGCAGTCAGGCTGGGGCAAAT